TCGCTATGCCTTCCCCCTTGTGCCCTCTGGAACCCGGGGTCCGGGTTGAACGTGACCATCTCAACTGTGGCTGCCTCCACCTGCCAGCCGAATGACACCCTCGCTCCTTCTTGTGGATGTGGCTCAGTAAGGAGGCTGCCCATTTGAACCCATGCACTTCAGTTAGGGGGAACATGCAGGGATGCTGTGGGCAGAGGCAGGGGTTGGCCCGGCATTGAGCCTCCCCAGTTGCCACTGCTTCTAGACTAGCACCACACACTAGTGTCTTTTCTTCACCTCTTGTGGTCTTGGGTCATCCAACCTGTCTACACCCACGTGGCCCTTACGGCACAGCACAAGAGGCCCCATGCAACAGGTGTCTGCTGCACTCTCCTCCCGGTGGAAGGGGCTTCAGACCATAAGGGCCCCTATAAGCAGAACTGGGTGGGAGGAGGAGGTGTTAGTCTTAACTGGGCCTCATGCTGAGGGTAATAAAAGCAAAGGGCGGAAGCCCTTTGGTGCTAATGTTTGCCTTCTGAGAAGGGAACAACCTGTCAGCAAGAAACTGAGCACTTTTAGGAATCTGGCACATCTGCTTGTGTGTGTTTCCTTGCAGAAATTGACTGAAAACCTTGAAACCGATGAAGTCTGTCTAGTCATGTGGGGCCCCAGGGACATGAAGCTGGGTCGGGATGGGAAGTGGCTGCCCTCACTGCTCCCAAAGGAGTGGGCTGAGTTCCTGAGGCTACAGCAAGGAAAGGAGCCCCACCGGGAGAGGGGACCCCACCTGCCTTCATGAAGGGCTTTGGCCCCGGCTTATGCTCTCGATCCACTTCGGCTGAGCCCTGGGCCTTCAGCATCCAGACACAGGCTCCCCTGCCTACCCACGTGCTCTTTCCCATTCTGGAACTCTTCTTCACTGTGACAGTTCCTTGCCCTCCAGTCCTCAGTCCACCCTCATTCTCAGCCCCTTCCCACCCTAACGCCCCTCCCCATCTGCCTAGATTCTATGGTCTGCATTTCATTCATTTCCCTCCTCACTCCTGTTATCCCTTTGCCCTTCTAGCCTGCTTGGCCTGCAAAACCTGAGTGGATGGCTCCAGCTCTGCTGAGGAAAAGCACCCTGGCCTAAAATTCCCAGTCCCACCACTCTGCCACTTGGCCCAAAGTCCCAAGACCACCTCCACCACCTTCCTCACCCAGGAGACTGAGGTCTATCCGGAGTCAGCTTCTAGCCATTGCTTGCTTTGTGATGCCTGCCTGTCCTTCACACTTCAGCAACTTGTGAAGCACCTACACACATCAGAGCCGACACGCACCATCACTCCCATTTCCCAGATGAGAAAACAGAGAGGTTAAGAAGTTTGCCTAAGGTCACACAGCTAATAAGTGACAAGCCACACCCTAGACACACCTCTAGCATATCACTCATGACACTAAATTGTCGTAAAAATAAGACACATCACAATAAAACCGTCATGCACAGTGCTCAGTACTTAGAAGGCATTTGTTTGTTGAATACGTGATTTTAAGTGACATAAGGCTCAGGAGAAATGAGGGTAAATTTCCACTTAACAGTTTGTCAGCAGAGAAACATTTTCTCCCTCATAATGAATGGGATCAGAATATCAAGAACCTCTCTACTTGTGATTAACAGGGTGGGCTCTGGCACCAGGCTACCAGGGTTCAAATCCTGGCTGCTCTGCCACTTTGTAGTCATGAGACCTTGGGCAAGTGAACCTCTCTGAGCTTGATCCTTCACCTGTGAGACCTAAAATTTCTACTTTGCAGAATCCCATGTTGGGGACATAATACAAGTGCTTAGTGAGGGGACTGGCACCCAGTAAATGCCAACAAATATTTCATCCCCAGCACCAAAGACACTGCTCTGGTGTCTGTGACCTACCCTGCAAGCCTCAAGACACTATGTTCACTCCCAAAGCAGTGTGGGGTGTTGGCTTGAGGGACAAACTTGGGTTTGAATATCAGCTCTGCCTCTTTCCAGCTGTGTGACCTGGAACAAATGCTGCTCTCCACAAATTTCAGTGTCCTCATAGGCATAAATGAGTACCTACACCTCATAAAGTTGTTGTGAGCACTGAAAATGCCTGGCTGGGCGCAGTGGCTCACGCCTGTAATCCCAGCACTTTGGGAGGCTGAGGCGGGCAGATCACCTGAGGTCAGGAGTTCGAGACCAGCCTGGCCAACATGGTGAAACCCTGTCTACTAAAAATACACAAATCAACCAAGTGTTGTGGCGTGTGCCTGTAGTCCCAGCTACTCAGGAGGCTGAGGTGGATGAATCGCTTAAACCTGGGAGGCGGAGGTTGCAGTGAGTCGAGATCACGCCACTGCATTCCAGCCTGGGAAACAGAGTAAGACTCTGTCTCAAAAAAACAAAACAAACAAAAAAGAAAATGCCTATCAAGTACCTGGCATATTGCACATGTAAACCTAACTGCAATGATTACAACACATTTGGGGAAATTAGAATCAGATGGGTACCTAGGACCCATCTGGAAACACTGTAACTGGAGTGGTGAGGGGACCAAAGGCAAGGAGGCTGTTTTGGGGCCTGTTTCGACCAACCAGGCTGGCCAGGCACTGGAGGGGTGGGGTCACTGAAGATGACGGAATTGCCCCGACATGATAAAATGTCATGCATAGTCCGCCTCCGCGCTCTGGCTTCTTGGCCCTAGCTGCTGTTTTATGCCTCCTGATCCCTCTGGCTCTGGCTCCAAGGAGTTACAGGTGTTTGAGAACAGTGGAGTCTCAAAACTGAAAAGGCTGCAGAGATTGTAGCACAGCCCCATCATTTGACAGACAAGGAACAGGGATCAGAGTAGAGCAACAACGTGCATAATGTCACACGTGAGCTAGCAGCCCTCTCAGCTGGGTTCAGGTCTTCAGGGGCCTGTCTGGCATTCTTTATGGTATTTCACACTGCATTCTTGTGGTTTTGAGGGATTGGAGCAGTTAAAAAACTTCATTCCACATGCAGTGTCTACAATGACACAGGCATAGAAAATGCGCTGATCTGCAGAATCTGCTGGTAGAGGCCAGGGGTCTGTCCCTCCGGGTAGAGGACACCAGGATGGGAAATGCAAGGCAGCAATGCGCGAGGGGAAGGCTAGGTCAATGTCCATCACCTTGGCCTTGTAAACAGGAACATCCTGGTAGACAGTTTCAATGGCTGGATCAACAGGACCTGGCGCCAAACTTGGCAGTGAAGAGTTTCCAGCTCAGATGAGACACAGGGAGGTGATATGTTTGACAGGAATAGGATGTGCCTAGTTTGTGCTGATTCAAAAGTATATAGAATGCTCTAGCATGTTCAGTGGGGGAATGGCTACCATCATTCTCATAAGCACCAGACCCCAAAGACTGGGGATAAACAAGGACCTTGCCTTATCAAAAACAAAACCTAGTAAAGCAGAGGTCCCCAACCTTCGGGCCACGGACTGGTGCTGGTCTGTGACCTGTTAGGAACTGGGTCACAGAGCAGGAGTTGAGTGGCAGGAGAGCAAATCATCTGTATTTACAGTGGCTCCCCATCACTTGCATTGCCGCCTGAGCTCGGCCTCCTGTCAGAGCAGTAGCGGCATTAGATTCTCATAGAAGTGAGAACCCTATTGTGAACCACGCATGTGGGGGATCTAGGTTGTGCGCTCCTCATGAGATTCTAATGTCTGATGATGTCACTGTCTCCCATCATCCCCAGATGGGACCGTCTAGTTGCAGGAAAACAAGCTCAGGGTTCCCACTGATTCTACGTTATGGTGAGTTGTATAATTACTTCATTATATATTACAATGTAAGAACAGAAATGCACTTGAATCATCCTAAAACCACCGCACCATCCCCACCAAAGGTTCATGGAAAAATTGTCTTCCACAAAACCAGTTCCTGGTGCCAAAAAGGTTGGGGACTGCTGGAGTAAAGCATGATTTAAAATTGGAAACTAAACACTCACAGGCAGATCAGAATATTTGTTTTGCCATTCACAGTAACAGTGATGTCAAGAGATGAGTATATAAAAGAGCACAATTAACCACCTGAGCATGCACGCCCAGACTTTTCAAAGCAAGAGGGTTTTCCTCATCCAAGGTGAGCACCAAATGTGAGAATTAAAGGGGCGAGGGGAGGAGGGAAAGGGGAGTAACCACTTAAAGGGTACAGATTTTCTTTTCAGGGTGATGAAAATGCTGCAGAACTAGATAGTGGTATTGGATAGCTGCACAGCCTTGTGAATATCCACTTTAAAATGGTTACTTTTAGGTTATACGATTTTTATTAGGATAAAAAAAGCAAGATCAGCCCTATAAAACAGGGCAAGAAAAAAACAAGAAATTAAAAAAAAAAAATTCAAAAGATACTGTAGTAATAAGCCTCAACTTACACAAGAGAACCATCACAGGGAAGAGTAACAAGCACTGAAATAATTGCAGGAAGACAACCAGAGCTTGAAAACTCACATCTAGGCTGGGTGTGGTGGCTCATGCCTGTAATCCCAGCACTTTTGGAGGCTGAGGCAGGAAGATCACTTGAGGCCAGGAGTTCAAGATCAGCCTGGGTGACAGGGCAAGACTCCGTCTCAAAAAAAAAAAAAAAAAAAAAAAAAGGAAGACGACAGAGAGAGAGAGAGAGAGAGAGAGAGAGAGAGAAGCCAGGTATGGTGCCATGACTGTGGTCCCAGCTACTCAGGAGGCTGAGGTGGGAGGACTATGAACCTCAGAGTTTGAGGCTGCAATTAGCTATGATTGTGCCACTGCACTCCAGCCTTGGCCACAGAGTGTCTCTAAAACAAACAAACAAACAAACAAACAAACAAACTCACGTCTTTCTATTCCAGAAGTGGAACTCTGCCAAATCACCAACTGGATGAAGAGGGAAATCAGAGAATTCGATTCCTGTTCATTGAATTTGCTGGCTGCTTGTGTTCGTAGCTTGGCCAACAATTGGTGTTGCCTTTGTACCACCACCAGTACACTTTTTTGAGTATTATAATGAAAAAACCCTTGTTTTATCTGCAAAGTTTATTTTATATAGCACACATTTATATGGAACTGTAACGGTATTTCAACACATGATATTTGTGCAGAAAAATAACAAACTCTTTTGTTAGGATGATTGTCTCTGTGTTATACATGAAAGACCTAGTATATAAAAATAGTTTTTAAACCAAAGGTAACTTTCTCTATTCTATATCAAAAGTACAATACTCTGAGTGGCAAAGAACCAGGGAATCTGAAAGAATTACCTCCTTTTACTAATCCAGGACTGGCAGCCAGAAGGAACACTGGCCTGCTTCGGACTATTTGCAATTCAACACTGAAAACTCATTATTAGAATTAATCTGCATTTGAATTTTATGGAATCATAATACTGTGTGTGCATACATACGTGTATGTACATCTGTGTGCATTTCTGTGTGCCCATCACGCGGACTCACTGGCAGCCAGTGGCTAGAGAAAGGCAAGCAAAATTTGGTTATATCTCAAGCCTGAGTATATACTCAACGACAGAACTGGAGAGTACAGGCCGAAAAATACTTTAAACATTAAACATTTCGAGGAATTAAACATACCCCATGGGACAAGAGCCATGTACTCCTTTATGTACACAATGAAAATAATATATGTTTCTGTAGATAAACACCAATATGTTCTTCAAAAGGAAACACTGACAAGAGCATGAAAGGTGCTGACTGTTCCAAGATGGGGCTTTACAAGACTCCCAGCATTTGAGGCTATTGGTGCCTGTGTACTCACTGGCACAAATGGGTAGAGTTAAAAATATACATATATCATGGTAAAATACAATTTATTGGATTTTGCAACCTTTGGTATTTTTATATTAGAAACAATCTGACACAGCTCTTGTGAGTGATCCTGCGGCCCTTGCATAATCTATTATGTTCTCTACAAGATCAACTGTGAGGTTTTAGCTGTCAAAATTGTCACTGGTACACAGAAAAATCATTACTTGGCTGGGCCCAGTGGCTCACACCTGTAATCCCAACACTTTGGGAGGCCAAGACAGGTGGATCACTTGAGGCCAGGGGTTCAAGACCAGCCTGGTGAGCATGGTAAAACCCCATCTCTACTAAAATACAAAAAATTAGCCAGGTGTGGTGGCACATGCCTGTAATCCCAGCTACTGGGGAGGCTGAGACAGGAGAATTGCTTGAGACCAGGAGGCGGAGGGTGCAGTGAGCTGAGATTGCGCCACTGCACTGCAGCCTGGGCGACAGGGCAGGACTCCGTCTCAAAAAAAAAAAAAAAAAAGTAAAAGAGAAAGAAAAAGAAAAAGCATTACTTTAAGATTTCAAATATAAACTGAAAGAGAATTAGTTCTGCAATCATATTCTTCTAGAAACTCCACAATTACACTTTCAGGAAAGCATCCTTGATGCACTCGCTCCAGCAAACACATTGGTAGGACAACACAAGAATAAGAGACAATGGTGATTTTCCAAAGAAAACAAAAACAACTCTTTACTTAGAGCTCTTGCTTAGACACAAGAGAACAACATGATTTTTAACATATTCTGAGATATACATCAAGGTGATCTTTTGACAGTTTCTTTCAATTTTTCGGTGTTACTTCCTTTACCAGGTTCAAGTCAGAAGCAGAAAAATTTGAGGACTGATGGGCCCAGGAGTTGAGTTATCCAGAGTGGAAGATGTATTCATCTCCCAGGCTGAGTAAGGTTTACATATCTGACTAGAGGGAAAAATAAAAGAAAGATTAGTAGAGAAGATGCTAGTCTCACAGCAACTTGTCCCTGGCCTCCCTTCAGGGTACATGCCCAGGACCCTCAGCAGCCCCTCTGGAGTTGCTGACACACTGGTCCTATAAATGTCCTTCACTTCCCCAGTCCCCAACCAGGCCCAAGGTGCTTCTCAATTTCAAAGAGAACTTCTCAAGGAAAGAAAAACAAGAGGCTTCTGGTTTTGGAAACACAGGTTGAGGCTTATTCTGAAGACTTCCCTAATCTTCTGCCCTAATCAACTGTCTGTGTGCTTGCCAAGCAACCAGCAGACCAGGAGCTCAGAGGAGTCTGGGATGCAAGTTTGAAAAGAACATTTTTTTTTTTTTGAGACAGAGTCTTGTTCTGTCACCCAGGCTACAGTGCTAGAGTGCAGTGGCACAATCTCAGCTCACTGCAACCTCTGCCTCCTGGGTTCAAGTGATTCTCCTGCCTCGGCCTCCAAAGTAGTCGGGATTACAGGCATGCATTATCACACCTGGCTAATTTTTGTATTTTTAGTAGAGATGGGTTTTTTTTTTTTTTTTTTTTGAGACGGAGTCTCACTCTGTCGCCCAGGCTGGAGTGCAGTGGCCAGAACTCGGCTCACTGCAAGCTCCGCCTCCCGGGTTCACGCCATTCTCCTGCCTCAGCCTCCCGAGTAGCTGGGACTACAGGCACCCGCCACCTCGCCCGGCTAGTTTTTTCTATTTTTTAGTAGAGATGGGGTTTCACCGTGTTAGCCAGGATGGTCTCGATCTCCTGACCTCGTGATCCACCTGTCTTGGCCTCCCAAAGTGCTGGGATTACAGGCTTGAGCCACCACGCCCGGCCGAGATGGGGTTTCATCATGTTGGCCAGTCTGGTCTGAAACTCCTGACCTCAAGTGATCTGCCTGCCTTGGCCTCCCAAAGTGCTGGGATTACAGGTGTAAGCCACTGCACCTGGCCAAAACTTATTTTTTATATCTGGCATGAAATGTGGGACATAAAAATTAGAATCAAGTCATCTACTCTCTATTCTCTCAAAACCAACTTAATGGAAGACTCTCACATCATTCCTGCAGACCCACAATTGTCTTCTTCTCTTCCAAAGCTATATGGTGCAAAGATTGCCCTGGAACAGCTAGAAGGAGGGGAGTGGGGTTTGGGGTCAACTGCCTTTCAAGAAAAAGGTGGATGAGATGAGGCCTTACCCTAATGAGGAGAAACAGGTTTGCTTCTTCTCTTATCGTCTAAAGGTGTCTGGGGACTTTGGCGAGATGTCATGGAATCCTTCAGATTTTGTTTGTGCCTGTCAGGAGAAAAATGTGACAAAGATAGTTCTGCGACTTACAATGTTGGTGATCTTGTCACAGATACACTGCTGCTCATAATTCATACTAACAGAGGATCTGCTGGTGGTGTTGGTTTCATCTGCCTTTCTGGTTTTTGTTGTGTGACTGGTCATTCTTTTGGAAGATGGTCTGGAAAAGAGACAGTTTGGTTAGAATCCCAATTATTCCCAAACCAAGGCTCTGGCCTAAAAGCAGCTTTGTCTTTTGATTAACTTCTAAGAAATGTCTTGGAATTAAAAAACATTTCAGAATCATAGAACAGGATGACTGAAAGGAACCCTAGAGATCACAGGACACACTGATTTTCAAACTGTATTCCAGAAAGCCCTAGGTCCCACGGAAGCACCAGGAGTAGGAGCAGCTAAGCACGCAGGACTCCAGAAACCCTGTCCCTCCCTTAGATTGGTCAAGGATGGGCCAGTGAGGTGTAGTAACAGAACTGGTACGGGTCCTCTAGCTCTAGTGCTCCTTCCACATCATCACACCTCTCAGCAGACTCCTGTTCCTGTGGGCCTTGCAGGTGAACGTCTTCTCAGGCAATTGCCCATGTAGCGTTCCTTTCCATGAATCAGTTCCTGCTCTCCTGACCTAACTTCTGACCTTGTTTCCTTACACTGAAAATGAGCATATTATGGCCGGGCGTGGTGGCTTATGCCTGTAATCCCAGCACTCTGGGAGGCCAAGGTGGGCAGATCACTTGAGCCCAAGAGGTTCAAGACCAGCCTGGCCAATCTGGTGAAACCTCATCTCTTAAAAAAATAAAATAAAATAAAAAATTAATAAAATGAGGATATTACTGTCACACTCAGAGTTGTGTTGATAATTGAAATAGGTAATATAAAATGCCTGGTATATTGCAATCACTCCACAAATGTCTTCTTGCCCAACTTCATGAGATAACATTAACCAATGTGAACGAAAGTAAAGTTTGGGGCCAGATGTATCTGGAATTGAATTTGGGCTCTGCCCTTTAATAGCAGGATATTGGGCAAATAAAGCCCCTACCCTCTCTGTACCTCAGTCTCCTTGTCTTTATAAATGGGGATGATGATCTTTACTTAGCAAGGCTGTTGTGGGGATGAGTTTATTTCTGTTAAGTCAAATATGTGACATGGTGTTTGGTAAAAACTAAGAGCACAAGAGATCATATTATTTAGCATTCTAAGAATGTCAATCATAATCCTGCCAAGTTTATTTAGATAAGCTGACTAAGTGACTCACCTTGAAACTACTTCCTGTGTTGAAGTGTCTTTCATGCTTTTTTGTCTGAAGTTTTTCAAATCACCATTAAAATATGTTTTTGGCTCTTTACGGACCTGGCTGGAACCGTCTTCTAGAAATACCAGCTTGTGTGTCATTTTCTTGGCATTGTTGAACGGTATTTTAAATTTGGGAGGTGAGCCTGTGCCATTTAGAATGGCTAGAAAAAAAATAACACAATTAAATATGGAGTTTCAATAACGAATTCAAGAAAAAGTGAAGGCTGTGATCCTGATGGGATGAGGAGTGGGTATCGCCTGCCTGAAGGCAGGAAGAGTCAAGCAGCAGTACTCCCGGGAGGCAGGCTCAGCAGTCACAGAGTTTCCCGAGCCATGTCTCGGGCCACTGCTCAGCACACACACTCACCCTGCCCTCGAGGCACCAAGAGGCTACCATTAAGGAATCTGTCCTTTTTCCTTTGCTAGGAAAGAATAACAACCAGAGATAAGACTGCTCCAGATTCTCGCCCCTCCCCTGATCACTCACCTAGCCAATTCTGTTTATGCATTTCGTCTTACCTCTAATTTTTTTTTTTTCTTGGGACAGAGGCACGATCTTCACTCACTGCAAGTTCCGCCTCCCAGGTTCACACCATTCTCCTGCCTCAGCTTCCCAAGCAGCTGGGACTACAGGCGCCCGCCACCACGCCTGGCTAATTTTTTGTATTTTTAGTAGAGACGGGATTTCATCCTGTTAGCCAGGATGGTCTTGATCTCCTGGCCTCGTGATCCGCCCACCTTGGCCTCCCAAAGTGCTGGGATTACAGGCGTGAGCCACCGCCCGGCCTCATCTTACCTCTAATGTTACCTCCTACCTTCGGCTTTCCTCAATGCCCTAAGGCAGACTGAGGGGCTCTTACTGCTATGTTCTCATTGTATTTTCACCAAACTTCTTTCAACCCAATCATCTTGTGGCAGTATTATGGTTTGCTCATACGTTTGTCTTCCCACTGGCTATAGCTCCTTCAAGCTCAGGCCTTGTCTTTTCACCCCTTCATTCCCAGCACCTAGTAGAGGACCTGACTTTCCTGTTCAATATCCACTGGCGGGAAAAATATGGACAAATAATGTTTTCTCAAATGGCAATTACTGTTACTACAAAGTGGTTCCTACTTGTAAGGGAGTCCAGACATTTGAGAAAGCATTCAATTTTTCTTAATGAAGTGGAAAGTGGAATTCCACCTGTGGTCAATCATGGATGCCTTGAGGAGTTGAGCTCTGAAATGCTGGCAATCCTCACATTCAACTGAGAAAGAGCTGCTGTCTACAGTCTATTAGCATGATCTTTAAAATAATAAGCAGCAGCAGCTGTTATTTATTGAGAGTTTATGTGTCAGACACTGTTTTTAGCATTACATGGATTTACCTCACTGAAATCTCATATCCACTCTAGGAAAAGGACATTGGCTTCCCCTTTTTCAGATGGGAAAAACTCAGCACAGAAAGGTTAAGTGACCTGCCCAAAGCCACACAGCTCAAAAGCAGAGGAGCCCCTGGATATGAACCTAAGCAGTCTAGCTCCTAAATTGTGACTAACCTGATGGAAACATTTCATTCAATGAGTCCTTGTCGCTTTCTTCGTTGTCAGCCTCAGCCTCTTCATATATGTCATGGCTGGATGTTTCTGTGACCTATGATTAAAAAAGGAAATCTTGATTATGACTAATATTCAATCATCCTGGTTTAGAATGTCAACGAAGTCTGCTTCAAAGCTGGATTGATGGCTAACTTTTGTCATTTCAACAAAAAGGTAAAAAAATCTAACCTCTTTTAACTGGCCCCAAGAATCTACAGAGGATAGGGACAGGTGCCCATAGCTGTGTCTTTTGGCTAGGAAGACACTCAAGAATGAAAGATTTCCCTGGGCAGGAGCCAAGGGACTATAGCTTTGTGTTGGCATTTGTTCTCTGCCTGCTCAGAACCTTAACTAAGGCGGGATGGGACTAGTCAGTGAATAGCTAAAATGTTTTTGACTGCTGTTTTTTTTTTTTTTTTTTTTTTGGTGGGGGGACAAAGTCTCACTCTGTTGCCCAGGATGGAGTGCAGTGGCACGATCATAGCTCATTGCAGCCTCAAACTTCGGGACTCAAGTGATCCTCCTGTCTCAGCCTCCCAAGCAGCTGGGACTACAGACGCATGCCACCACACCTGGCTAATTTTTAATTTTTTTTTATAGAGATAAGTTTTCACACTATGTTGTCCAGGTTGGTCTTGAGCTCCTGGGCTGAAGAGCTCCTCTTGCCTTGGCCTCCTAAAGTGCTGGGATTACAGATGTGAGCCACTGCACCCAGCCTTAGGTTGCTGCTTGAGGCAAAACTCCTAATGAGTTGAATGAACTTTGACATGATGACTCCCAGCACTTTTTGGAAATGACATTTCTACTCTAAATTCTCATGTCACTTAATGTAAATGACCACAACTGGGTAATTGCAAACAGACAAAATATCAGTCTTATAGCACAGAATGTAAAAAGCACAGAATCTGGAGGAAAAAGGCCTTGACTACATGTGCTCCATCAAAAGACATGACATTGGGGTAGGTAAATAATTATGAAACAGACCACAAAAACACTCACTATAAGGGAAAAAAATGATAAATTTAAGCTTGTTAAAATGAAGAACTTACGTCTGGTTCATCAACAGACATTAGGAGAGTGTGAGGCAAACTATGGCATGGAAGAAGATACCTGCAATATATATACATATCTCCAAAGGACTCTTAACCAGTGTAGGTAAAAATGCCTACAATTCAATCAGAAAAAGGCAGGTGACAAAATAGGAAAATGGGCAAATGACTTGAAAAGGTACTTCACCAAAGTGAATCTCCAACAGGCCAGTAAGCATTTATGAAAAGGTGCTTGACTTCATTAGTCATCAGAAAATACTGGTCAATTCAACAATATTAAAATCAGAATGCAGGGCATGGTGGCTCAAGCATGAAATCCCAGCACTTTGGGAGGCTGAAGCGGGTGGACTGCTTGAGCCCAGGAGTTTTAGAAACAGCAAAATCCTGTTTCTACAAAAAAATAAAAAATTAGCCAGGTGTGGTGGCGTGCACCTGTAGTCTCAGCTACTTGGAAGGGTGAGATGGGTGGATCACTTGACCTTGGGAGGTGGAGGTTGCAGTGAGCCACGACTGCACCACTGTGCTCCTGCCTGGGTGACAGAGTAAGACTATTTCAAAAAAAAAAAACCAAAAAACAAAAAATCAGAAGCTTCTATCCAGAAGAGGACAACATTAAGAAAAGATAAGCTGGCTGGGCATGGTGGCTCACACCTATAATCCCAGCACTTTGGAAGGCTAAGGCGGGTGGATCGCCTGAGGTCAGGAGTTCGAGACCAGTGTGGCCAACATGGTGAAACCCTGTCACCCTGTCTCTACTAGTAATACAAAAATAGCTAGGCATGGCGGCGCACCCCTGTAATCCCAGCTACTCAGGAGGTTAAGGCAGGAGAATCACTTGAACCCAGGAGGTGGAGGTTGCAGTGAGCTGAGATCACACCACTACACTCTAGCCTGGGTGACAGGGCGGGACTCTGTCTCAAAAAAAAAAAAAAAAGAGAAGAGAAAAATGATCAGCATCTGAGGTGATGGATTTGCTAATTATCGTGATTTGATCATTACACATTGTATACAAACAAAAAAAGAAAAAAAGAAAAAGAAAGATAAGCTGTAAACTGGGGGAAGATATCTGCAACACATAACCAAAAAAGCAGCAGTATCTATAACATTTAAAGAACTACAAATGAGACAAATCAACCCAAAAGTCTTGGGCAAAAGATCGAAAAAAAACATTTCACACAAAAGAAAACATGAGAGCTAACTAAAGATATGAAAACATGGTCAACACCTTGTTAATAATCAGGGAAATGCAAATGTAATACTTTATTTCATTACCACCAGATTGGGTAAAGTGAAAAACTCGGCAATAATGTGAAACAAGAGGCATTCTTATACACTGCTAGTAGGAGCATGGGGACTACCTTTGAGGCATTCACATCTGTCTTTCTCGTCCGCTTCATAATTTCTTCTATTCTCTATTTAAAGGGAAAGAAAAATTCAAACATGAAAACAGTTGAGAAACCAAACAGTTATCCTAAAGGAGTTGATTATCCCCATTTCACAGAGGTGGACAATGGCAGTGATTGCTCCAAAACCACAAATATTACCAACAAAAGGCTTATGGTGGCAGTTGAGTTTCCTATCCCAATCCCAGTTTCAGCTATAAAATGCCCTGAATGACTGCCGTATTTGTTATAACACAAACATCCAAATGACAACATCTCACTCCTAATTTTGCATATGCAGAAATTCATTACTTAGGCTAAGCATATATTATTGCAAACCAATTAGAGCTTTTAACATAATTTTAGTCTTTAGTCTTCAGTTGATTCCTGAAGCCAATGTTAATGAAAATAATACACCTCAATGATGCCACACTGTTATTGTGTTAATGAAGAGAGAAGATGGGAGGTGGAGGAGAAATATACTTCTAGGGAAGGACAGGAATTCTCTCTCCTGTGCACACTTCTTTCCCTGCAGTGAGGAGAGTTGCAGCTCCCTGGTCCCGTCAAGGTGACCAATCTACTACCAGATAGGCCTTGCAGCAACTCAGCCTGGACCAGGGCTGCCAGATGAGCTCACATGTGGCCCTACCTTAAAAACAGCCTGCACCTTGGCCTCTCAAAGAGGCTTGCAGTTTCTGCTTCTTCCCATGTAGTTGCTGCAATTTCCAGCCAGTTTAGAAGAAAGTCTTAACTTCCACCAACCCCTACCATGACTGGAGTCCTTCTGCTCAGAGGAGTTTTGTTACCAGAGGTTTGATATAGTGAGGCATCACTGTAATGGCCACCAAGGGTCCATGAGTGGGAGGCATGATCAGTAAGAGGACAGCCTTCTATGTAGGAGAGGTCAGATCCTTGGATAAAGAAGAGAATCGAGTGGAAAAGCCACCAGGAGCTAGCATATATCAGATTTGTGATTCTTAAAAACATGCTGATATCAGGTGCCCAACACTGTTTAAAACACAGAATCAAGTCCCCCCAAACAGACAGTGAGTACCTTTTTCCTTTCTAACCGTTCTTGTAAATTTTGTAACATAATTCTCTCGTGTTCTTTCTTGCGTTTGTCAGCTTCCTCTTGAGCTTTTATGTTGGCGTCCCCTTTCTAGGAAATTTGTATAAAAATATCATTTAATCTCAAGATACCTGAGTGACATCAGAGAACTCTAGTTTAAAAATTTCAATGGTAAAATGTTATCTAGCATAACAAAAGAGTGCAACCTTTTGGATGAGGGGTCCTATATTATGGTATTTGTGGACTGTCAATTTTCAAAGCACTAGTTAGAATGCACAAAGCTAGGCTAAATGTTGTCTTGAGGATTCAGGACCACAGGGTCATCGTTATGAACATCATACCATCCTAATTCAAAGTATGTGACTGTGAAGCTATCCATTAACACAGTAACAGGAGTGAACAGCCTGACATTTCTCAAAAGCACTGAGAGAATTCTTGAAGGCACCTTCCTGAGAAATGCAAGCATAAACAATCATATATAAAACATGACCAATGCTGGTGAATGATACACTAAAAACTGGGAATATAAATTGGGCTATGGTAATAATTCAAACAGTATAATCTGAGTTCAGTTTGGGCATTTATTTACCCAATAATTTGACTTTAGATAGATGAGACATTCTTATCAGTTAATGATTTTAAACTTGTAGAAGTATTTATGGTTTATCTTATCTGTCACAGGGGTATAAGGTCCAGTTGATGGAGTTGTATGTGGTACCACAGAATGCAAGATGGGGGAAACCAATGTAGGATGTTGAATCTGTTTAAGCAATTTGGATTTCAAATTAAGGACTACAGAATTTGCTGTTTTCTGCTTATTTCACTAGGAAAACATTCTATGGTTTTCTGAGGGTGACTGACAATGGCTTGCAGTGGTACTGGGTAATAGAGACTATAACATAAAAATGCAGCCAGAGGTTGGGCGCAGTGGCTCACACCTGTAATCCCAGCACTTTGGGAAGCTGAGGCAGGTGGATCACCTGAGGTCAGGAGTTCAAGACCAGCCTGGCCAACATGGTAAAACCCCATCTCTACCAAAAATACAAAAATGAGCTGAGCGTGGTGTCAGACGCCTGTAATCCCAGCTACTTGGGAGGCTGAGGCAGGAGAATGGCTTAAACCTGGGAGGCAGAGATTGCAGTGAGCCAAGACCGCGCCATTGCACTCCAGCCTGGCTGAGAAGAGTAAAACTCCGTCTCAAAAAAAAAAAAAAAAAAAAAAAAAAAAAAAAAAAAAAGCAGCCAGAGAATCTGCTCATGTCTTCTTTCTCAGAGACAGAGATTTTTGCTTTGGGTTCCATCTGAACTTTATAATCTGGTTCTTATCTCCTGATAAAGTGTCAAGCCAGCAAACCTGCAGTGGTGCTTCCTGGTCTTCCTGATCCAGCCATCCTTTCTTCTTTTTAGTCTCCTTTGGTCGCTGCCCATCTTTGAGTTTCAAGAGGTCTTCTGCTTGGCCTCCAACTGCTTCCTTTGCCACGTCTTTTGATTTCTTAATGACCCTGAGAGTATTTAAATAATTGTTAGTGTTCATCTTGATTGCTACCATATTCAGCTTGCAGTAGTATGTGAGTTTTTACAGTGAAACTTCCTATGTATAGTAATACAATTTATATCTACACCAGAGTCACTACATCTTCTGTGTTGTTACTATATAGCAATTACACAATTCCACCCTTTTTAAAGAGAAAAACTAGCCCTCGGGAGCAGAAAAATATTTCAATCAAGTAATAGATAACTTTGCTTATTAAAAAACACACATACGTGAGAGGAAATCATTCCTTAACTGTCTTTGAGACACGACATCCCCTAAAAGGCCTTATTTACACTTGCTCACACCCAATCTCTCGTGGGGATTACAGAGATAATTTAGAGCAGAGTCTGGTGGCTCCCTAGTATTCAGCACTTTCAAATGCTAAATCAGCTCTGTTTATATGAAGCGATGAATAATATTCTTTGAGTTAGAGTTTTTTTTGTAATTCATAATATTCCCTTCTTTTTCCCAGGCCCATGTAAGCATATGGAAAATGTATGATTATTTCAAATAACACTAAATACTTAAAAGCAAAGTCAGTACTGTTATTATTCCCTGCAGCCAGTGGACAGAGGTTTACATTACAAGGCCCGACATAAAATAGGCCTCAAGATGGAGGAGCAAGAAACCTTTGCTAGAATTTGAATGTACACAACTGTACAGGAGATTTGCTGCCTACAAAGGAAATCCTTCTAGCAATGACTCACTGGCCTGATGGGATACAGGTGTCACAAAGATCACAGGAAAAGTAAAACGTAACGTAAGTATAATTTTCAGGTTTAAAAATCCTGACATTACAAGTCTTTTAAAATAAAGGGCTGACACTAGTGAACACAAACAGATAGGTTCTTATATACCACTCTGGTGCTGAGAGTTCAAATCCTGAATGTGAGTTTGGTCTCTGTGCATCCTCCTAGCACACCTTAATGGCACGTGACGTATGGAGGCTAAAAAGGACTGTGCCATTTATCCACACACCAGGGTCCTTAGCTTAGCCATTTACAAGGGCTTGAAATGCTTCCTATACAGGCAATGAGGCACTTCTGATCCTCACTGAAGTCAATTGTTCCTTGAGAATTTATAACTTGAGGGTAAAATTTTGACTTTCAAAAATTTGGGCCCTACTCAAGATTTATAGTATAGGAAGGAAGACTTTGTGCTGACCTTCCCTGCATTTCTTCCCGTTGTCTTTCTTCTTCCTCTTTTTCTTTTTGTTCACGAGCAAGGCGGCGTAATTCTGTCAAAATTTTTGTTGCCGCCTCGGCATTCATAATACCTGCAGTACTCTTATTACCAGACTCTAGTTTAAATAAATATGTGCAACAGTTAGTTTAGAGAGCTAATCATCTCTCACTCCAACAAAGAAGTGCAACACAATCCAAAACATTAAAATATATATATATATATGTGCATAGTCCAAAATTTATAAATCACAAGCAAACTACAGGTGATTATGTAACAGATTTTGTTCAAACTGCAGCCCCAACAATAGCTGTAGCATTTTCTTTTTAACACCTACTTGTTCCAAAATGGAATAATGTACTTCTACTTTCCTTTTAGTGGTTTTGAGATAACTGAATCAACTAATCCCATGGGAAAAGAGTAAGAAATACTGAATATAGAGGAAGACAAGCTTACGCTTGGTCCAAATGAAGGGTACAAGTATCTTCAATACTCAAACAAAAATACATCTGGCATACATTTTGAGATTTGTCCATCATTTTTACTATATAATTACTATTTAGCTAAACCTTGATAATAGTGTGTACATTTGGTTGATCATAGAGTAGCTAACTGTAGATAACAAAACCAAGACGATCAGTAAAATAAGGTGAGTACACGGAGGCATATTATAATATTTTGGTCTATATAACTAATTTATTTTAAATAAATCACATATGAAAATGAGAAGACATATCAGGAATGAGTAATCTGTAATTAAAAGATTTTTTCTGTTACCAAAAAAGTTCACTGTGGAATTCCCTAAAAAAGCAAAATTCCCCAGTGTGTTTTTGAAATTAAGTAATGTCCATGGGTATTAAGAATGCATGTGACGGGCAAAATAGCAATATGGCACTTTCAGGAATACTACACAAATCAAGGGACACCACATTATGGCCTATATATAGAAACGAACCTAAATCTTGGGAAAAACCTGCTCATCCACGAGTGGATATGCTCTCTCCAAGAACCATCACTATCAGAACTAGAAGAGATCTTAGGAATCACCTAGACCAAACCTCTCATCCGACCTGTGCTTTTTTTTGATACAGGATCTCGCTCTCTCATCCAGACTAGAGTGGAGAGGCACTATCACGGCTCACTGCAGCCTCCACCTCCTGGTCTCAGGCAATCCTCCCACCTCAGCCTCCCTACTAGCTGGGACTACAGATGTGTACCACCTTAAGCTAGGCAGTTATAGTATAATATGGCTTACTCTTATCCTCAATCCCCTAACAGAATATACAGCCTACCCTTTCCACATCAGGCTTTTTTTTTTTTCCTGTAGAAACAGGGGTCTCTCTCCTATATTGCCTGGGCTGGTCTCAAACTCCTGGGCTCAAGCAATCCTCTCACCTCAGCCTCGCAAAGTGCTGGGATTACAGGCGTGAGCTACCATGCCTGGCTAGACTTATGCTTTTAAAAGCAGTTCCAAAAATGGATTTTTCAAAACAAAGGGGTGAGAAGAAAGCTTTGGCAAGGACAAACAAACAGAGAGGATACATTCCAATGTACCAGAGATTGGTTAGATTCTCTTTATCTAAAAGGAAAATAATTCCCTAAAGTTCTCTCAATTGGGGAATAAAATGAAGTGAACCTTTCCCAGAATACAGTAAGATTTTCTGTGTTGCTAAAGATAAACTTCTTAGTGCAAGAACTTACCTTCATAGATCATATGCCTCTGGCTCAAAGCCTCACATCTGTTAGTGGTTTTAGAAACTGTTTCTTTTTTCTTTTTGACAGTACTTGATGCACTTTGCACAGACATGGTGTGTTGAATAGGCATCATTTTATAAGGAAAAGAAGTCGGTGGTGACTGTTTTGAAATAAGTGGTAATGGTGATGGAGGGCGGTTCTTTTGGATTTGCCTGCTGAGAAAAAGTAATACACATTTGCTAATTAATTTTCAGTGTACAATTTCGTAAAATTTAAGATGATATTATGAGGTGACATTATAATCGGGGAAATTTTCTGAACAGTAAATCCCTTTTTACAGGCTTTTTCCCCTTTACATTTGTGTTACCATGCATACTATTTCACTCATCAAACATTGACACGGAATTTGTTCTAGTAAAATGCCTATCAGGAACAGTTGCTAATAAGCTGCTTACTTAGTGCTGATGGGAGATGGCAGACCACAGACATTTGCAGGAGATGATGACCATTTATAACACTCAGTGTATGATGATAGACGCTTCTTGGCAATAAGGGTTAAGGCCTGTTTTTCCATGTCTGATTTCTGAACAGGTAAACACAAGATAGTAAATTACTAACTATTCTTTTACTGTAGCTGGCTTTTTTTTTTTTTTTTTTTAAGAGAAAAACATTCCGAATAAAACACAATTAGAATTCTTTAAACTGCAATTTTCTTTTAGAGCATGAGAATCAGGACATTGATATTTGCTTCTGGACTAACAATTTACATTACACAATTCCAGGAGATCACAGAAATAACAGGTTTAAAAGAAATACTATCCTTCAAAACCAAACTCAATTTCCAAATCCTAATTCAGGGTTTAAAACATTTCTCAAAAAACATTTCTTCAGAGTTTAGAAACACAGTTCATATAAACTTACATTTTCTCCCTTCTAATAAAAACTCACTAATATTTCAGCTTTGGAGGAAAAGTGGTACAATGGACATCAGAGAATTTTAAATTCCTAGCTTAAGTGAGTTAACCTATTTTATTAATTATATTGCAGAATACTGTAAATAATATGCCGGTTATGTTGTAAAATCTGACCTATTTTGAACTATACAACAAAATATACATATTTTAATAGAAAATTTGTCAATAACAGGCACTTGACAAACCTTTGGAGCGTCTCTCGCTTTTGCCTTGGGAGATGCTTTCATGCTTGCTTCAAGGGATGTCTTGGAGGATGCTTTCACCATTGCCTCAGGAGACGCCTCCATGATCTCTTTGGGTGACCCTTTCACACTCTCCTTGGGGGCACCTTCTGCACTCCCCTTGGGAGGTGCTTCCAAGCTCCCCTCTAGGGCTGCTTCCATGCTCACTTCTGACGGTGCTTCCAGGCTCGCCTCTGGGGGTGATTCCACACTTGCCTCTGGGGCTGCCTCTACACTCACCTCTGGGAGTGCTTCCAGGCTCACCTCCGGGGATGCTTCTATGCTCACCTTGGGAATTGTTTCCAGGTATACCTTCAGGGGTGTGTCTATGCTCAACTCGGGGGATGCGTCCGTGCTCATCTCAGAATCATATGTGCTCACCACAGGTGACACATCCACACTCGCCACAGGGGATGAGTCCGTGCTCACCTCAGTGGCCATGCCCACACTTGCCTTGGGGGATGCTTCCATGCTTGTGTTGCAGAATACTTCCACATTCACCTGGTGGGGTGCATCCACACTTGCCTTGGGAGGTGTCTCTACTTTCTCCAAGGGAGCCTCTTCTACTTTTGTTTGAGGAGGTATTTTCATTGCTGACATGGGAAACATAACAGCCCTCAATTCGTCACTAGTACATTTACGCAAGGGTACAGTGACATACCGCATTACATAATTGGTGACACCTGTAACTGAATGAGGACAGAGAATGAAATTCCCTAAGTTAGAAATCTGACAAGAAAAGGATGCACCATGTACACAGTATAAGAACAGGAACAGAGAAAAGAGATTGTTTATTAGGAAAGCACAGGGATTACACACAACACAGGAGAAGTTCAGTGAAATGGATGACAGACACAGGACAGAACCATCACAAAGTCAGTACTTCAGAAGCAACATTAACAACAGTCGTTGTAAAGGCAATAGTCTATTACAGATGAAAATAAGATGCTTCTCCAAAGTTGATGTTTGCAATAAGCTGTTTCTATTTTAATCATACTATATTTCAGAATAATTTTCACAAAAAAGCACAAGGTCTTCAACCCTTTCTAAAAGTAATCTAAACATCTTCACCAGGGCTAGAGATCTTACCATTATAGGTGATTATGTAAGACACTCCATATTTTAATGTTTTAGAATAGAATGTAAGAAAGAGCATTTTCTCGCCCACACTAAAAACTGTAATAAGACATTAATCAGAGTGGGTTGGATCTCTAAGGTCCCTTCCACGTTTAACAATCTAATTTTATGTTTCCTATCAAATGGACAAAAATGATAATATTTGGTGCCAGGTAAGATGGAAGAAAGTGATTAATACCAATGTTTAGAACCTCATCACCACTGGTGGGAGTATAGATGTGTATATTTTCCCTGGGGAGCATAAAAAGTACATACTGTTTGTTTGAGCAATTCTAATTCTAGGTTTACCCTTAGGAAAAAAAAATTACATAAATACATAAAAATGCTTGTATAAGGTTGCTAATTACTACTGTTTATAATATTGAAAAAATTGAAAATACCATCCAAATGTTCCAAAGGAAATGTGGGCCATATTAAGGCAGTCACTAAGAGTAATAATATGCAATATTTTGGACATAGGAGATGGAAAACAGGTTATTTCATTTTGTGAAAAAGAAAATGCAAAGAAAAATATGAAGTTACCAGTGAGCACTGGGATAATGGGGGATTAGATTAAAAACTTCTTCTACACGAAATATTTATTGCTTATACGATTAATTTTTTTTTTTTTTTTTTGAGATGGAGTCTCGCTCTATCACCCAGGCTGGAGTGCAGTGGCGCAATCTTGGCTCACTGCAACCTCCGCCTCCCAGGTTCAAGCGATTCTCCTGTCTCAGCCTCCCAAGTAGCTGGGATTACAGACATGTGCCACCACACCCGGAAAATTTTGTATTTTTAGTAGAGACGGGGTTTCACCATGTTGCCAGGCTGGTCTTGAACTCTTGACCTCAGGTGATCCACCTGCCTCAGCCTCCCAAAGTGCTGGCATTACAGGCATGAGATACCACGCCTGGCCTAATTAAATATTTTTCAAAAGGTATTTGGAGGTGGCTTAAGACCTGGTAAATTAAATTAAAAAAAAAAAAAAAGACCTGGTTAAATTTATCTGCCACCTCATCTTTAAGTATGGGTGGCAAATTTTCACCTAATCTTATCAAATAATTAAAATAGACCAAATTACCAAAGATTGACTACTTATGAATAAAATCTTTAGCGAAATTAAATGTTATCTTTTAGTCCCTCATTTTTAGTGGAGAAAGCATTTTATTTACATATCTACGTATGCCTAAACGGTCACATTACACCAACAGTTTGTGCTGCAGAAAATATAGTATAACTGGATTTTTATTAGCTATAAACTTTTAAGACAAAATATTGAGGTTTTTTGGATGGTGGTAATAGAAATATCTTACCATAGATTCGGTGGGAAAGGGAGACTGGCAGAAAATAACCTGACATACATATAATTGGGCACAAAAAAGTCAGGAATTAGAACAAAAGAAATAAGACTGCAGTACAAGAAAGTCTGTAATAGCATTTAGATGCATTTTACTAATCATATGAATACTAACAGAGAAAAAGCAAAGGGAGTGGGATATACACTGTAAAGGAAAAAGTGGAGGGGAAAAAAGAGAAAAAAATCATAGGAACAATGCATTAGCCCTTTCCATTATTGGGGGGGGGGTCTAGCTATCCAAAGGCAAGTCTAATACTATATGTAAACTATAAATGAAAGTCCACACAACCCTGAAGATGTTTCATGTTAAGAACAATCTTTAGGTCTCTAACTAAAAGCTGAAGGGTGGCTCTATGCTATTCTTCCATATTTTAGGGGAAAAAAGGAAGGTAGAGTAGGAAACTTTCTCCCTTGATATGAGTGAAGGTTTTCTATATTTTTAAAACCCATAGAGCTTTAAAATTTAACAACCACCTCCAAAGTTAGCTATCTCATCCCACAAATTACCTGTCTCCCACATAACTGCCCTATCATGTTAGAAGTCATAAAATAAATATGCAACATCAAATGCTGGGTAAAATCACTAATATGATAACTATTGATTCAAACTATTTGGATGCCTAAATGCAACAAATTCAGTAATGAAGCCTGCTTTGAAATGCAAACACTCAACAACTCCTGGCTTTCCACCATATACCTGTTACCTGGAACATCTTTTCCAGGACTGGATAATGAAGCAGCACTTCTGCTTCTGGCTAATGATGCTTTTGTTGGGCTGAACAGACAACTGATGAAATCATTCTCTTGAGAACTGATATATGAGCAACGAGCTATATAATGCAAACAAATCCAAAGGATTCCATTGGAGGTCTCACAAACGCAAAGCAAGAAAGAGCAATGCAAACTGCTCTCAACAGCACCTTTCCCGGCAACACAAAACATACCAGGATTGAACACTGTCATCTGACTGGACTGCACTGTCAAGGAAGAGATTCTCAGAATAAAAGAAGAAAGGCCACAGCATACATACCAAAATAACTCTAAGGAAAGAATCTAGGTAACATTTCAAACAGAGTCATTCCCCACTGTATGAAGTTTATGGAGGAACTCACACTTGAGGAAATCAAGTTGCACACGGCAAAACAACTTTTACAAGGATTCCTACAGATAGACAGTACTGAAAATCATAATGCTCAAATTCACTGCCAAAGGCTCCAAGGAGGTGAGTAAACACTTTTGTTAAAAGTAAATTTTGTTGTAAATATCTTGCTCCAATAAATCTTCATGTTCATAAAGATCCCTGTGTCAATGACATTTGTTCTAACAGGATTTGACCTGAATCAATTAAGTGGAGAGTCTTCTATAAAGGAATGGTTTGGTATCAAACAAAAAGCAACAAATACACGTGAAAGGAAAATGCTAGGGAAAGGTGTTAAAAAGAAACTTTATGGCCAGTCACGGTGGCTCACAGCTGTAATCCCAGCACTTTGGGAGGCCGAGATGGGTGGATCACCTGAGATCAGGAGTTCAAGACCAGCCTGACCAACATGGCAAAACCCCACTTCTACTAAAAATACAAAAATTAGCCAGGCGCGGTGGCAGGCGCCTATAATCCCAGCTACTCGGGAAGCTGAGGCAGGAGAATCGCTTGAACCCGGGAGGTGGAGGTTGCAGTGAGCTGAGATGGTGCCACTGCCCTCCAGCCCGGACAACAGAGCGAGACTGTATTTCAAAAAAAAAAAGAAAGAAAGAAAGAAAAGAAACTACTTTATATAAAGAAATGCTTTAGTAATCACTGTGAAATTTTGTGAATAATCAGCAGTGAAAATATGCACAAAGGACGTATGTGGGTAATGTTATGAAGCAAGGGCAAAGCTTTCAAGTTCGAAATGTGGCCAGGTATTTCAACTTCCAAATCCAAATTAATGAAATACTGGAAGTGAATCAAATCCTCCAGTACACACCTATCTATACCAATATTCTGTGATTTACTTCCTCAGCTGCATTATCCACCCCTTGTCAGATGATGCCAGGAATTATATAGTTCATTTAAAGACAGATTTTTCTGGCTTTAGCCAAATAAGCATGGCACCAAAGCACATTTTTTAGTTTAAGAAGGAGTATTTTGGCTTCCAATTTTGGGAATGATTTTTCAAGCAATTCAATGTTGACATAAAATACCTCTTTTAAAAAACTATTTAAAATTTGTATTTAGAAGCAACTAACCACGTGGCTTCCTTTCTGCTTGTTCTTTATCAGTAGACGAATGTAGGTTACTATCTCTTCTATTTAAAGATGAGCTTCTCTCCTTGTCTGTTTTCCCTAGAGAGCAAGTACAAAAGAATATTAGTTTTCATAAACTACTAATTATCTCAGGAGTGAGACACTCCTTTTTCAAACATTTTTTATGTTCTCTACCTTGCTTATAAGATTTAATTTCAAATATGATGCAGAGATTCTATATCCCCAAACTTAAAACAAGTTTATTCTTTATCTGAAATGAAAAAAAAAATTATTTAGAAAATGGTAAAAATTAAGAGGTAAAATGTCTGATACTATCTGACATCAAAGTTCCCAAATTACAAACATACAACCCTTTAGACATGATGCCTAATACTTAAAAGCAATTTATACTTCAGTTATAACTAGTATTTTTGTTATATATGCATATATTTTAAAAAGATATATATGTATACACACATGTACACACACACACACGTGCACACACCAATATAATAAAATGAAGAAAACATGAAGCTCTGGTATCATTTAAATAAAGATATTTGCTCTTAACATAAAGAAAATGAATTATCTGAGTTACACATGTATCAACGTGTAGGCTTGAACAGACTGTCAGTGTTTTACCCTACAGAGCCATTCTTTTGATATCAGGTATAAAGTTATTGATAGCTGTAGCATCATGGCCAAAAAATGGCTTTCAGAGGCTCGGGTCCTGGACCTTACAAGTTAAATAGTTATAACTAGTATTTTTAAAATAAAAATGAATATTAACAATTGGTATAGATGCCACGATTTAAGCAACCCAAGGAGAAATAATCTGCTTCCGTGTAGACACTTTCATTTCACTTGAGATATTCTAGCTCAGAATACTGAGAAATGTCTGTTTTTTTTTGTTTTTTTTTTTTTGTTTTTTTTGTTTTTGAGACGGAGTCTGGCTCTGTCGCCCAGCCTGGAGTGCAGTGGCCAGATCTCAGCTCACTGCAAGCTGTGCCTCCCGGGTTCACGCCATTCTCCTGCCTCAGCCTCCCGAGTAGCTGGTACTACAGGCGCCGCCACCTCGCCTGGCTAATTTTTTGTATTTTTTTAGTAGAGACGGGGTTTCCCCGGGTTAGCCAGGATGGTCTCAATCTCCTGACCTCGTGATCCACCCGTCTCGGCCTCCCACAGTGCTGGGATTACAGGCGTGAGCCACCGCGCCCGGCTGAAATGTCTGTTTGAAAAATAATTTCTCGGCTGGGCGCGGTGGCTCAAGCCTGTAATCCCAGCACTTTGGGAGGCCCAGACGGGCGGATCACGAGGTCAGGAGATCGAGACCATCCTGGCTAACCCGGTGAAACCCCGTCTCTACTAAAAATAAAAAAACTAGCTGGGCGACGCAGCGGGCGCCTGTAGTCCCAGCTACTCCGAAGGCTGAGGCAGGAGAATGGCCTAAACCCGGGAGGCGGAGCTTGCAGTGAGCTGAGATCCCGCCACTGCACTCCAGCCCGGGCGATAGAGCAAGACTCTGTCTCAAAAAAAAAAATAATAATAATAATAATAATTTATCTTTTGGGGATTTGTAAACTAAAGTACATGTTGACAACACAGCATCATCTGAAAATTCCTTGAATTAATAACATGATTGAGCAGCATGAACCACAGAGGTGGTTCGATCATGTGATTAAAGTCAGTACCTTTCATTAGCATACTGCAAAAAATGACAAAATGGTGTGAGCAGTTATTATGAATCAGCAATGAGTAGAAAAAAGTAGACTACTTGAATCAACCCGGATTTAAAATAGTTATTTAAAATATTACAGGTTACATTATTAACTTCATTTGAGTTTAAAATGTTGATCTCTCTGAATTAACCAGGTTTCATTTCAATTTAAAGGTAAGACATTGCCAATATGGATTTTATTTCTTAGAAATCATTAATTATAGCATTCATTATTTCAGAGTGTGCAACATACTGTACCTTTAAGCAAGTTATTTCACAAAGTGTCTTCCACACATACCTTCTTGTAATAAAAGTTAATAAAGAAATCATTTTAAAAGTTTTATTTGGAATTGCTCCGTCACAGTACAATTTAACTAATTATTATCCTGAAGTCATAATCTGTCTCTTCTCTTGACCTGTCTCACTAATAAGGCTTTTGCTCATTATATTAAATATGTAATAAATGTCTATGAGATAAATCTTTGCTAATTCCTGAAAGCAATTAGATAGTAAAACAGAGTCAATGCTTGTGGAACAATTAAGATATATTAAAATGAAAGTACATAAACATGGCACTGCAATTAATGTTATCTAATTTTTCTAAAGGATTTAGTTGGTGAATAATAAATTAATTTTACCATATTATAAGCAAGGTGCCAGAGAAAATCTTCCCATATTAATCTATGAATGAACCCAGACTATACATAAAAATGCTTTGGGAAAGCACATTGAGGGTGGAGGTGGTAAGTGGATGAACTTTTCTCAGACCAATACAAGAGAAAATGTGATATACTCAGACTGACAATAAAATAAAAGACCTCTCAAGCTCATCATTGAAATTTTAAGAGTCCTAAAAGTACAAATAACACAATGTAAGTTTGAACAGAAATCCTTTCCCCCTCGAAATCCTTTTCAACATATTAAAAACTATATTGTTTTAGGCAAAAATGGAAATCTTTTCCATAAGGTTAACTACTGCTACAATTAATTACACTTTAAATGGTATCCAAAATCTTTTGCTGTACTGGAATTTTACAGCAATCAGCATTGCTCAAAAATTGTCGAGACACCTAATAATGCAAAACAAACATTTTAAAATTCAAACTATAATTACGCCTTATTCAATTCACAAGGCACAAAAGCCATCCTTCCTCATCTTTTTTAATGGCTAAGTTTAAAGGAATGATGTGGAATTTGTTCTCTCTTTTTCCTCTCAAGAACACTCCTTTTTTTCCTCTGGAAAGAAAAGGGATCCTTTTTTTGGACTGATGGGTACGGTTGCCTAATCCATTTCAATTATCAGTGAGAGGCACCATGTGCTACAAGCCAGACATGGTTATTGACACACACTTGGATATAGATTTTTCTTTTAATAAGGAACACTAATTAAAAGGGTACATACCAGAAACAAAAAGATATTTGAATTATTCATAGTAGACAACTTCACTGTATTTGAAACAACTCTGTGTTGCCATTAGGAAGAGTAGTAAAGTGGAGCTTGGCAATACGTCTATCATTAAACATCATTATCACTTTATTTGCTTTTGGGGGAAAACACTGGCTTATAAATGAAAGGTACAATTTAAATATCATGATCCATCTATCAAATGACCAAAATATAAACCATAGAAAAGGATGTTAGAGTAGAAATCACTGAATTTCTTGGAGTCTTAATTATAAAACAAGGAAGGCAATTATATTTGTCTGTCAATTTTCTAAGATAATTGTGAATAACAAATATGACATATGTAATGCAGATCAACCTGTCCACTGCTATATATATGTTATTATTTTTCTAAAATGAGGTAATATTCACAATACTTAATGGAAATTGAATAACTAGTCTAACCAGTCTGTAGAAAACACAATTTCACTTATAGGCTGGTAGAATATGAACTGATTTTCAAATAAATAATTATGCCACTTAATGGCAATGTCTTTTGACCAAAATATGTTTCAGTTTCAGCTACTGAGGTCCAATAATCCCATCTGATATGATTAACACAAACATCATGAAACAAGTATATTGATGAAAATACAAGGCCAGGCATGGTGGCTCACGCCTGTAATCCCAGCACTTTGGGAGGCCGAGGTGGGTGGATCACTTGAGGTCAGGAGTTTGAGACCAGCCTGGCCAACATGGTGGAACCCCGTCTCTACCAAAAGTACAAAAGGTAGCTGGGCATGGTGATGCATGTCTGTAATCCCAGCTACTTGGGAGGCTGAGGCATGAGAATCGCTTGAGCCCATGACCCATGAAGCAGAGGTTGCAGTGAGCCAAGATCATGCCACTGCACTCCAGCCTGGGCAATAGAGCGAGACTCTGTCTCAAAAAAAAAAAAAAAAAAAAAAAGTATGACTAACTCTCTCCCTCTGCTGTAAAGTAACATGGGACTCTTTTGAAATAAACCTAAATGTTCCACAATCTAAATAGGTGGTACTGTAAAAATATAAGTAACTGATTTCATTAAATAGAAATTCAGTAGAATACATGAAATAACTACTTACTTTTGGCAACGGAATTTTGAAGGCTTGCAGATGACAAAGGCATTTGTCTGATTAAAGCAGAAGCTCCCTGTTCAAGTTTTTCAGTAGATGCAGATCGTTTATTGGCTGAGAAAAGACATAATACTTACTGTAATCATATTTCAAGGAGGAAAGCATCATTAACTGAAACAAAATGAGTTTTCATGATGTAGTTCTATGGAGCACAGACTTACATTACTCAAGCTCACAATATTCACTGCCAGTCAATCAATCTTTTTTTTTTTTTTTAATTGAGACGGGGCTTCACCATGTTGGCCAGGCTCGTCTCAAACTCTTGACCTCAAGTGATCTGCCTGCCTTGGCCTCTCAAAGTGTTGGGACTACAGGCTTGAGCCACGGCAACTGGCCAATCCTTCTAAACTATATAAATTTTACTTTTGTTTTCTGAAATTATGTAGAATTATGTGCATATAAGAAAATTTACACTGAATCAATAGTAGACAAGGTAGACTTATTTTTAAAAATATGCATTCGATAAGCTGCGTAAAGCTTACTCATTATTCATCATTTTTCTGCTGATTATAAGTTTAAATAAGATTTTAGGTATATTGAGCTAATTAAAATCTACTATAACATTTCACCTGTTTCCTTTGCAATGGCATATGATACAAATTTAAGTTTACTATGTACAGTATTTTTGTTTAGGATACAAACACTAAAACCTTGCTGTAAATGCAAGCTTCTACTCATAGCCAATATTTAAATAAGAACATAAACAAACTTAAAATTTAACAGGTGTATTAATTACCAGTTTTGCTCTCAGAATTCGCCATTGCAGAGCCTCCCCATGACCATCTTTTTTGCTGATAATCGTCAGCAAGTCTCCTCCGTTCCAAAGTACGATAAAGAATGGCTGTAAATTTTTCCTATTTAAAATAAATGCCAACATATTTTTACATATTCATTATATTAGTCAGTATAATTTTGATCTGTAGCTTATAAAATAAACCATAACCAAATTTCTGTCTCAGGTAAAAGTTTAAGATAATTGGCGATATGTCTCAGCTATCTATCAGTACCAGTGCTTCTCCTAAATAACTCACTTTTTTTTTTATCTTATGGACCCTGCATTGAGAAAATGACCACGCTTTCCTCTTTGTTTATATCATTAGGAAACTTAGAGCCAAATGTGTAGCCTCTTTCTAGCAACTGTGCAAAGACTGATTGGTGTACTTTTGTGTATGCTGATCATACCTTATGTTTTATTTGCCTACCTTAATTTTCCCCTCTGCTTGATTCCCCCAACCATTTATTTTATCATCTGGTGTGGTATGTATTTTTAAGTTATCTTAAATTCTTTGTGGAAGGAGGCAGGGGAAAAATCAGCACACATGAAAGTTAAATTTATACCAGAATCATCTATTATACTCACATCTGTAACAGCTTAAATTCTGGTGTTAACTAATAAAAATAAAGTTTCAAAAAAGACAATCAATATATTTGTCTTGACCTCAACTTTAACTTAAACTGATTAAGACAACAGCTATACAAAGCAAATGCCATACTGTAGCAAAACAACTCCACTTCCAGAAATGAGCTCTTCTCTCAAATATTTCTCATCCTTGTACTGTACCATAGCATGAACTCAGGTAAGCAAATCAACTTTTAGGACCAAAGGTCTTCTATTTTTCCCTAACAACAACCGTTTCACAGCAAACGCCATTCTTACAAAGCCTCTACTGTTTCTACCAAGGGCAAAGAGAAATGTACTAGGAAAATGGAGAGGAGCCGTATCTTCTGAGAAGAAGAGCAACTGCAATTCTTAAAGTTGATATAATGGCAACATTTGAAAACTGTATTTTCTAACAGAAAGGCAGTTGTTCTGAATTACTGAGAAACCCTGAAACTATAATAGACTAAAAACAAAGATTAACTTTGTATTATTAAACTATTTCTGATTCTATTCCACCGTTTCCAAATGCATTACCTACTGTGCTCTCTTCCAGATCCCTTCTCACGCTATGGCCACCCAGGGCTCATGTGGAAGTTCCTATCCCATTTCACATACACCTCAGCACCACTGAGTATGGGTTTTTTTTCTGCTCTCCAGAATTCCTCTCTTTTGCTATATGTAGCCTGCTTCCAGTGTCCCATGTCCCCTGTTCTGTCTGGGACTCCCCTGCACTAGCTATCTGGGGTTTTCTTTTGCCCCTTCTCCTGCCATGTCCGTGGCTCCCTTTCTGTCTGTAGTGTCATTCTGCTGCATTCTCTTCTCTTCTCTGTGTTCTCTCTGGCAGCTTCCTCTTTCTCTAAGATAGTCTTTATTTTTTGGTCTCAGTCCCTGTGACTTGTCTCTCTCCTCCATGGACTCCCACTCACTCTACACACAGTTTATATTTCACTTTCTTTGGTTCTTTACTTAGTTCTTGGTTCTTTCTTGGTTTATCTTTACTTAGTTCATTCTCTCTCTCTCTCTTTCTCTCTCTCTCTCTGGCCTTCATCTCTTCACTACAGATAAGTAAAATAAGAGATGTTTCACAGAGGATGATGGGAAGTGACAGGAATTCTGAATGAGAGTCTACCAAATACTAGAGCATGAAACAGAACATAAACAACCACAGAAAAAGGTTCAGAAAGAGAGAGATAGAGACACAGTACACCATGGACGGGGAAGAGGTGGTATAAGAAGTGTCCTAGAATCAGGAAGCTCTCCAGATCGGGTGCAGGGCTGGAGAGGAAGCACGTAGAAGAGCAACGGTATGGATGAGGGAGGAAACTGAGCACCGCAGAGAAAGACAAGAGGAAGCTTCATGGGAGAAATGGAACCAAAGAGAAAAGGAGAGAAAAAAAAACGTAAATATTAGAGCGACAGAAAATAAGAGAGGGAAATAAAAATACAACACACTGAGAGAAAGGCAGGCAGAGAATATAAAGATGGGGAAAAACAGACAGAAGCTAAGACAAAGACAGAAAAAAGAAAAGCGAGCTGCCTCAGGCAGAAAAAGGCCAGAGTCAGACAGAGACCAAAAGATAGACTAAGGTTTATTTAGGGACACTTAAGAATCCCTGTAATGGGCTGGGCAGGGTGACTCACGCCTGTAATCCCAGCACTTTGGGAGGTCAAGGAGGGTGCATCACGAGGTCAGGAGTTCAAGACCAGCCTGGCCAAGATAGTGAAACCCCATCTCTACTAAAAATATGAAAATTAGCCAGGCATGGTGGTGGGCGCCTGTAATCCCAGCTACTTGGGAGGCTGAGGCAGGAGAACTGCTTGAACCTGGGGGCCAGAGGTTGCAGTGAGCCAAGATCATGTCACTGCACTCCAGCCTGGGCGACAGAGTGAGACTCTGTCTCAGAGAGAAAAAAAAAAATCCCTGGAATAAAGAGAAAGAGAGAATGCCAGGAAGATAGAGAACGGTGTCACAGAGACCACGCTAGATTCAGAAGGAGTCAAGCATACTCCAAGTCAAGTAGTGAAATGACCTACAAGAGAAAAATTAGGTGTCAGAATCATACAGAATGAGACAGGTAGCCAGATGCCCAGTACCACAAAAGACAAACTGAAGAGGTACAGAAGTGAAAAGGAGAGGGCATAACAAAGCCACGGACTCATCCCAACAGAGTGCCAAAGACACCAAAAGAGAATCCAGCAAGGAAACGAGAGGGGCAGTGCCACAAAACAAAAGCAAGAATGCTGACTCTGAACCACACATCCAGAGGGGCCCTGTCAGGAAAGGGAATGTGAGGAACATGGGGACAGAGGGTAGAGAGGGAGAGAGTGTGAGTGTGCACCACAGGGAGCCAGGGAAGCTGAAAGGGAGAGCGAGTGCCCTGATTTGGCTCGGGAGTCACACTCTTAAAGGAGTTGTGAGAAATCGGTCAGATGAGGGCATGTCAGGGAGGGTCAGACAGTGGGGTCTGCCCTTATTCTGCAGGCAATGAGACAACAGTGAATGCTTTTTGGTAGTAAACAGAGCCACTCAGAACAAAGCCCAGGCCACAGGTACCTCATGTGCAAGTCCTGAAGGTGGACGGGGTTTTGTTCCTGGATTTGGAACGCTCCCCACTCCCTAGGCTAGTGGATCTAAGCTCCTGGGATCTTATCAGGACATGAGTAAGAGCCTATATAATGCTGAGGGGAAGGGGAAACGAAGAAGAAAGAGCTGGGATTGGTTCCCTTTCTACAGGGCCAGTAAGGCAGAGAAGGCCTGAGAAAACAATATTCCAGACTCAGGCAACACAGATTATCTTCTCGTGTATAGGCTGTAAAATTACGTACCTTTTGTGCTTCATCCTTCTGGTGTCTTTTTTCTTCTGCGGCTATTCTCCGTTGTTCTTCTTTCTCTTTTCGTTCCTTCAGCTTTCTCTGTCTTTCCTCCATCTGTTTTTCATATTGGAGCTTGGTCTTTCTTTCTTTTTCAAGTAGTTGTGTTTCTTTATTGGCTGAAATATTCCAAATACATTTTCAAGGTGTAAGAGCCAAGAAAATATTTAGGTTTTCCACATCACACACACAGAAGGAAAAAGTTAACATATCTCATTCCCTTTCTTAACACAACCTGTGCTAGTAACTAAAGATTTATTATAAAAGTGAACAGAGGTAGCCACTGAAGAACCATTTTCACTGAGTATTCATTTAACTCTGGAGAACTGGATTGTCTATGCCAAATGACTCTTATCCTGTCCAAAATACAATTCCAAATTAAGAAAAAATATTTTCTTTCATGTGATATTTCTGCTGATTTGAGCTAAAGTCAAACCCTACCATATTAATATGCTGTACATTAAAATACTAATTTTTAAAAACCACATGGACAGGATATATGTTTTGTTCCCTTCTACTAGGAAACTTCTTTCAAAGTCCTCATCTATACAGACCATATTAAACATGCCAGTTTTACATTAATGGACTCAACCATATACCACATTATAGGAGAGCACAATTTTTTCTATATTCAAATTTTCCCTCACTAAATGCTTCTGAAGTGTGACTCTGTATAAATTAGGATCTAAAAGGATAATCTTTTTACAACTTGGTAACATGCTTTTCATCTTATCTATATTAGGATTATTGGCAATTTATTTTCAGTTTTAGAATCACTTTTACTGGCCAGGTGTGGTGGCTCACGCCTGTAATCCCAGCACTTTGGGAGGCCGAGGCAGGTGGATCACGAGGTCAGGAGATCGAGACCATCCTGGCTAACATGGTGAAACCCCATCTCTAATAAAAATTAAAAAAATTAGCCGGGCGTGGTGGCAGCTGCCTGTAGTCCCAGCTACTTGGGAGGCTGAGGCAGGAGAATGGCATGAACCTGGGAGGCAGAGGTTGCAGTGAATCGAGATTGCGCCACTACACTCCAGCCTGGGTGACAAAGTGAGACTCCGTCTCAAAAAAAAAAAAAAAAAAAGAATCACTTTTACTGAAATCTCATTCTGATTGTTTTTACAAATATTGAAGAAATTTCCAGACCTTAGTTTTCAGAAAATCAAAGCTAAGATACACTACTCCTCCAAAAATTAAACAACTTAATCAAAGAATTTTCATGGGTCTTCTTTACCTGATTTAGTAAAAAGATTTAATCCAAAATAATACGTAATATAAAAATTATACTCTATCATATAAACAAATTAGGAGGAGTAAGTTAAAAACACTTTGCAATATATAACAACATAAAATTCATTTTGATTTTTGAAAAAAGGTCTAAAATATACCGTCTTGCTGTCTCCTTTTCTCCTCTCTGCGCTCTCTTGCTAATCTTTGTTTTATGTCATTTTTAAGCATGGATCCATCGATTACTAAAAAAAAAAAAAAAAAAACAGAATATAGTTAGATATTAATAGGATATCAAATTTTAAAGACATGACACTTTGACATCTATCAAAGCATCAGAGAAATTATACCTGGTTTAAATGTTGATCTTATATTTGAGGAATGGGTTGCAACATGATTAACCACACCTTGCTTCCTCCTTTCCTTAGCAATCTCGTTTGCTGCAGCAACTAAAATACAGAGATAAGGAATTAGATGTTAAGAATACGAATAGCTAACACAGGAGTCAGCAAATCACGGCCAGTTGTATTTGATGATAAAGGATAGGATCACTTCTATAAATCATGACTGATTTCATCTGGGTCAACAACAAAGATATATTGAACACCTATGATCTTCAACAATACTTTAACAAAGATTTTAAGGGTTTACTAAGATGGGCCAGGGTATTTGCAGACATAAAGATAATTGAGTTGTTAGTGGCGGTGGCAGCATAAGCTTGTGGATGAGTAGGAGCCAATGATTAATAGATCTCAAAAATGTCTCAAACGAAACATTACACCAAGTGTTAGAAAAACTGAGCTGGCAAGGAATTGGAAAAACTAAGCTTCACCATAAATTGGAAATTCAGAAGATAACAGGTTAAGAATTTATGGATCTGAATCGGGAAGCAAAGTGTTAACAGTGAAATACTCAGTGAAAGATCAGGCCCAACCAATGTTAAGGAGTACACTTATAAATTACCTAAATCAGGGGCTTTCTACCCTGATTGCACACTGGAATCACCTAACTCACTTTTAGAAAATCAGCAATGCCTGCCTGCCCGCTCCCCACCACCAGTCTCTTGGTGTGGGGCCCAGGCATCTACAGTTGTTAAAAGCTCTATTCTGATGCATATTGAAGGTGGAGAAATAAATAGGCTTTTAGAAAAAGTAATCTCCAATGAGATGGTATCATTCTAGGTAGATGTCAAGCAAACAAATATAAACTGTACAAGGTGCAAACAAACGTGTAAACAGGCAGAAAAGTGATAAACTTCGATAAGGGTGAAGTGTAAGATTAGGAAAGCACAGTATGAGGAAAAGCAAGAAAACTAAAATTCCAGGATGACACACATGAGTTATTATAGGGGAATCCCTGAACCCTTTAATTCCACATATGGCTATATCTAAAATGCCCCACAATACTGAGCATCTTCAAAAAGAGTATGAAAACTAACTCTTCTTCCCTTGTAGAAATGCACAGGAGGTAAGCCCCTGTGATGCTGCATACAAGTCTGGTTTCTATGTATTAAGAAAAATATAATGGTTGAAGATGGGCAGTTAAAGTAACTGAGGGAATAGAGGGGCTGTCCTTGGACTTATAAAATGAATGAACTCTGAGGTGTTAATTGCCACTGAGGGAGTTATTTTACAGCATAACCTTGAAAGTGACATCACAATTGCTGCCATAAGGATCACCATTTTTTTTTTTTTAACCCCAGGGGCTGAACAGCCCAGATAATATATGACCTAGCCTAATTTGAAGACGAGACTCTTCTCAGCTTCCTTAATAATTTAACTACTGGCAATTCCATGGACCACAATTATTTTCTGAATTTGAGCACTAGTATATTAACAAAAATTCTTAGTCTATAGACACTCCTATATACCCACTTGCAACATTTTTATGTGAGCACAGAGAAAACAATAAAGTACTTGTAGTATTGTTTTTACACATTCAGTTCTCCTGTTTAGAAGTCCTAAGGATAGTCTGTATTTGACATTATTTAGCTGATAATTTCTCTCAAAATCTACATTTTTGGCCCAGAGTGGTGGCTAATGCACGTAATCCCAGCACTTTGGGAGGCCAAGGCAAGTGGATCACTTGAGGTCAGGAGTTTGGAACCAGCCTGGGCAACATGGCAAATCCCCATCTCTATAAAAATACAAAAATTAGCTGGGTGTGGTGGTGCACACCTGTAGTCTCAGCTACTCAGGAGGCTGAGCCCAAGAGTTTGAGGCTGCAGTGAGCCTTTAGCATCCCACTGCACTCCAGCCTGGGCGACAGAGAGAGACCCTGTCTCAAAAAAAGTACATTTTTACCAGGCTAATTAAAAATCTTATTAAACAGAAATGACCTTAGAAGTAGCTGTGGTGAGAATAATGAACCAAATCATATAAAGGTTAATGTAGTAGTAGTATCAAATCTGATTTTTAGACCTTTGTATTCAAATTCCTACTGGTAAGAAATACATTAACAGAAAGGACAGGGTTTAAAAATTATTTAAAATGTCCAGAAAATGGGATAACACCTTTATGTCTGGATATATTAAAGTCAACATTTTATTCAACTTCATTGAATGGAAGAATTTAATTAACATGCATTTAAATGAATGAGGGAATTTACTTAATATTCAGTTAAAAGTAACAGCAAGGTATTTCTGTAGTCCTTATACTAATTCTAAATCCAAAATTAAAGTAAAAGCTATATTTTGTCCAGAGATTAAATAAGAAAATGTGTAGTTTATTACTAAAACTGAATTATGAATCTTAATCTGTATTTATGGAACTTTTCTAAAAACGTCCATAACACATATTGTATATCATGTCACCATTTACAAAGCTCATTTGTATTACTTCATGTAAATTTTTTTTTTTTTTTTTTTTTTTTGAGACAGAGTCTTACTCTTTCACCCAGGCTAGAGTGCAGTGGTGCATCTCGGCTCACTGCAAGCTCCGCCTCCTGGGTTCATGCCATTCTCCTGCCTCAGCCTCCCGAGTAGCTGCGACTACAGGCGCCTGCCACCACACCCGGCTAATGTTTTGTGTTTTTTTTTAGTAGAGACGGGGTTTCACCATGTTAGCCAGGATGGTCTCGATCTCCTGACCTCGTGATCCGCCCGCCTCGCCTCCCAAAGTGCTGGGATTACAGGCGTGAGCCACTGCGCCTGGCCTACTGCATGTAATTCTTACAACAATCCTATAAAGTGAACATAATTATTTTCCCCAATGTTTTTTTTTTAACAGTTGAGGAAACTGAAGCTAAACATAACTTTCCCAATTCACACAAGTAGTAAGTGGTGAAGCCAGAACTTGATTTAACTGTAAATTTCAAAGCAACTTTATTTTGAAATATTAAGAAAAAATAACAGGAAAAGAAATCTGCCATCAGCGAACCATAAAAATCAGGCAGATTCACAGAATTTTGCTTCAAATAGCAAAAGCCAAAGTCATAGGGCTGAGACTTTCAGAAGACCTCCAAGTTCAAACCAAAGATAGCTGTCTTGAAGACAAAATTGGAGACAATTTTCTACAATTTAGAGTTGTCTACAATGGAATGGCTACTTGGAAAAATATTAAGCTCCTCATGAGAGTGCCCATTCAAGTGGTAGAAGTGCCCCCAGGGTTTTACAGCTGGGACTCTGGATGCCTGACAAGATAATCTTAAGGTTTCTCCAACTCTAAAATTCTATGATAATCTGGCTGTCAATTTCAGTAACTTTTTCTGCATTGGTAGAAATTATTCTTTGAATAAGTTATTCTAAACTGAGAAACACTGGTGAATTTAGAAAAACAAGAAGGGAAAGGTGATATGTCAGTGGCAAGTTTCTTACGCTCATCTGGTTGAAATATTCAAATTAATTTTTATTTTAAAACAATTCTGCATAAAAATATAAACATGTGTTTTGTTAAAATAAATATTCGGTATGTTACAACCTCAGCACAGTGCTATGCACAGAAAACATCACTTGACAAATATATATTTACACTTTATATGTAACACACATATATATATATATACACATGTATCTGTTGAATGCATACACAAATGTATAAAATAAATGTATTTTGACTGTGCTGTGCATTTATATGTTATGTATTCAAGACAGTTTTAACTCTTGCTGACAGGCTCCCAGCAGAAGATGAAAACAACATTTTAGCAAAAACATCTTCTCCTTGACCCTTTCAGGAAAACGCTGAGATCTAAAGGGCAGTTCTGGTCAAGTTGGTGCTCTGTGAAAAAAGTCTAACGTGCGATATTTCCAATTCCTAACATGAAGTGGGCAGCAAGGATTTAAACCAGGGTTCTAGGTTAAGACTTCTACGTGGCTGTTAAGTTTTTGGTTTGAAATGCTGTGAATTCAAGTATCTGTCCCATATATAATTTTAAAACACTTTCCAACATCTGATACACAATTGTTTTTAGGGGTTTATCCGGCTCACAACTTCTTCACCATATTGGAGTAATGCTGGTTAATCTAATCACTGAAATAAACCAGTGTCTGAGAGCCACGGGTACCAATAAGCAACACAATTTATTGGAGACTCTCTTTCTAGGTGAACCATAAGTTTAGACACGGAAGGAAGATTCTTTTCTCCCTGATGAATGGTGAAAGTGTATGTAGTATATGCTTCTGACACAGTCTTTGGAGAGCTGATTCAAAGTCTTCTCAAGTGACATACAGCTTCCCAGTCGTAAACAATCTAACTTTTTAATTGCAAATGCAAAAAAAAAAAAAAAAAACCCCTAACAAATTCAATTAAAAGTAATAAAATCGTTTTATTCGCGCTCATAGCAGAGGGAACTAGTCTAACAGGCTAAAGGCAACCTCCTGCAAGGAAGAAATCCTCTCTCAGGTAGTGGAGCCGTCTCCTGGACCAAGCAATGCGCTGTCAAATTGTGTAAGATTAACGGTTTTCGAGGAGGGAAAAACTTTTTGGCGATGGGACCCGTTGAGGAAAAAGCACTCTGAAGTGCTGATTCTCGTTCAGTTCAGCCTAGGGACTGCAAGATGTCCCACGGAAGATGACATCTTGTCTAAGTCATGTGCTACAGCAGGCAAATCAGGAGATGCAAAGAGCCAAGTTGCATCCCAACTTTTAAATCAACTTTTAAGTATCCCCACCCTCACCCAGCTTCTTCCCTGAACCTTGACTGGGAGGGTGCAGGAGGTAAGCCTTTGGGAGAGGCAAGGACTGCGACAGTAAAAGCGCCTAAACTCGCCACGACCCGGGCTGGGGGATAACTCAAATTTTCCGTGCCTGGAAAGGCTGCCTGGCCACGGAGGCGGCGCCGGCGCGCGGAGTCCCCGCGGGCGCCCGCACATCCCAGGCAGCTGCGCGTTCGTTGGGGCGGCTGCGCGGGCGGCCGCCGCCCCCCAAGGGCAGACGGGGCTCGGGGCGGTCCGCGGGGTCCGGGTTCCAGCCGCCCCCGCCCCACCCGTCGAAGCAGAGCCTGTGAGTTCCCTCGCGCCGCGTCCGCGGGGCTTAGACCGTTGGCAGCGGCAGTTCGACCGTTGGCGGCGGGACTCAGGCGGCTCGCGGCGTCGGCAGACCATTTCAACCCCCCACCCCCGGCCCAAGGCTACTCCCTGTCCCGTCCCAGGGCACTCCGGCGGGGGTGAGGGGAGGACCGGATAGCACGAGGCGACTCCAGGGAAAAGTTTTGTGGCCCCCGCTGCGCCGCTCCGACGGCCCGGGGGCTGCGGGAGCACCACCTCCCACGCGGGCCCGAACCACCCTCGGGAGCCGCCCGCCCGCTCACCCATCCGTGCCCGCAGCTCTCTCAAAGATGTGCTGCCGCCAGGGCCAGCGGCGGCGCCGTCCGCCATCATCGGAGTCGGGACCGGAGGCGGTGGTGGCTCTCCGCATACATTGCGCAGGCGTCGGCGCGACCTCCGCTTGGGCCTTGGCCTGGCTGCCGGTAGGCGGGGCGGGGCGGGGCCCAAAGGGCCACCGCGCCCGCCTCGGACCTGCGAACCAGGCAGGATTGCCCCTTGCGTCCCACGTCCTGACCGGCTGGGCAGCGACTGCCTGGTCTAAAGAAACCCTCTCCTACGTTCCGTGCTCTGCCCCTACTGCATTGTGGGGACTAGCCAATCAGCACCCAGCTTGGCCCCCAACATTCCTTTCTTCACCTTTACCTAGCAACGCAGTAACATTTCTTCGTCATTCATTCATTCATTTAAAGAGCATTTACGGCGTGCCTCCTGGGTGCACTTGTATCGTGAGTTTACTAGTCCTTGAAACACTACACAAAGAAAGACCCAAGTTGGGGGAAGAGGCCCAAGGAGAGGTTGAGAGTGGCAGGGTTGCTTTGAGGTGCTAGGGGCCCCATCATGAGTGGACTTCCCTAAACTGTTGCGCAATAAATCATGATACATAGGTCTCAAAGTTGGGTGAAATATCTTTAAGATGTTTGTGAGTTTTTAAAGAGAGGCAGAGGACTTATTGGCGTCAATCTCTCCGGATTTTGGGAGAGACTCTACCAGGTTGCAGAATGTTTTTCCCATTCACAAGGAAAGCCATAATTGGCCCGAGGCTCCTTTAAGGGGCAGACCTCACTGCCTGGGCGCTTGCCTTTATGAGGTGGAGTCACCACTGTTGTGAGTGTGTGCGTGGTGACACAGTTGTAGGGACCCAGTTTATGGTTGGGGCCATTAAGTGTGGTGCAGGAGATCCCAAAATGGGGCAGGATCACTTGTGAGATGGGCACTTTGGCGAGCCCACTGAGTCTTCAAATGACATAGGAGCTATAAAATGGAAGAAGCTAATAATAGCATATATTACATATGTTAGCAATGATAGTATATGTTACATATATTAATATATAATATATATAATATAATATGTAATATAGGGGCAGGCATGGTGGCTCATGCCTGTAATCCTAGCATTTTGGGCGAATGAGGCGGGTGGATCATTTGAGGTCAAGAGTTCGAGACCAGCCTGGCCAACATGGTGAAACCCCGTCTCTACTAAAAATACAAAAATTAGCCGGGCATGGTGGCGGGCACCTGTAATTCCAGCTACTCGGGAGTTTGAGGCAGGAGAATCGTTTGAACCCGGGAGATGGAGTTTGCAGTGAGCCGTGTAGCGCCACTGCACTCCAGCCTGGGTGACAGAGCGAGACTCTGTCTCAAAAAAAAAAAAAGAAAAACAAAAACAAAAACAAAAGATGAAAAAAAAAAAGACATTATGTTATGTTGCGCCTACAGATTTAACAAAAATTAAAACGTGGTCAATAAATGTTTGCGATGATGTGGGTTAATACAAGTTGGGGGCCAGGCACGGTGGCTCACACCTGTAATCTCAGCACTTCGGGAGGCCGAGGTGGGTGGATCACCTGAAGTCAGGAGTTCAAGATCAGCCTGGCCAACATGGGGAAACCCCATCTCTACTAAAAATGCAAAAATTAGCCGGGCGTTGTGGCAGGCCCCTGTAACCCCAGCTACTTGGGAGGCTGAGGCAGGAGAATCACTTGAACCCAGGAGGTGGAGGTTGCAGTGAGCCGAGAGCTGCCACTGCACTCCAGCCTGGGCAACAGAGGGAGACTCTGTCTTGAAGGAAAAAAAAAAAAAAAAAAAAACCTAGTGGGGAAAATAAACAGTTTGGCATTATAACTTCCGAAGCTCTGCTTCTAAGTAAATACAGAGATTAATGCTTTGCGTGATATCCAGGATGGTAGCCATCCATGTTTATTAATACGACACACATATGATTAGGGTGCCCACAAAACACACATGCACAAATGCAAGTTCAGCTTTCATGACCTTATCTGGAACTCCACAAACAGAAAATTTAGCAAAACACATCAGCTTTGTAGTTTCTTGCAAAAATGTTGAACCCATATCTAATAATGAAGAAACCTTCAGACAGAGGTAGAGACTGATATAGTCTACAAAACTGGCCCCAATGCTTCAAAATATTAGTGTCATGAAAGACTAACAACAAAAATCAGAGAAGTGTTCCAGATCACAGGAGGCTAAAGAGACCACATGCAATGAATGATCCTTGATTAGAACCCTAATTTTCAAAAGAAGCTTTAAAAGGCATACATTACTGGCACAATTAGAAAATTTGAATGAACTGTATGGTACATGATATTGTATCAAGGTGAAATTTCTTGGGTATGGGAATGATGTTGTAGTCACCTAGGAAAATGCACTTCTTCTTAAGAAATAAATAGTCACGCCTGTAATCCCAGCACTTTGGGAGGCTGAGGCCGGCACATCACTTGAGCTCAGGAGTTCCAGACCAGCCTGGCCCAACATGGCGAAACCCCATCTCTACAAAAAAATAAAAACACAAGACAAAAACCCAAAAATTACCTGAATGTGATGGTGCATGCCTGTAATTCCAGCAACTCGGGAGGCTAAGGCAAGAGAATTGCTTGAACCCAGGAGGCGGAGGTTGCAGTGAGCTGAGATTGCCTACTGCACTCCAAGCCTGGGAGACAGAACGAGACTTCATCTCACACACACACAAAAAGACATAAATGTTGAAGAATGTAGGGGTAAAGATTTGAGGTTTTTCAAAATAAGAAGTTAGATAATTTTTTCTTTATTTTTTGAGATGGAGTCACACTCTGTCACCTAGACCGGAGTGCAGTGGTGCAATCCTGGCTCACTGCAACATCTGCCTCCTAGATTCAAGCGATTCTCCTGCCTCAGCCTCCCGAGTAGCAGGGATTACAGACCTGCACCCCCATGCCTGGCTAATTTTTGTATTTTTAGTAGAGACGGGGTTTTGCCATGTGCCCAGTCTAGTCTCCAATTCCTGAGGTCAAATGATCCACCCTCCTTGGCATCCCAGAGTGCTGGGATTACAGACGTGAGCCACTGTGCCCAGCCGAGTTTTTTTCAATCTAGAAGTTTGTCTTCAACTTATTTGTAAACATTGTCACTTTGAAAAATAAAATTTGATTGGGAATTACACATGGGGAGGCACCCTACTAGTCTTTTCAGTGTTTAGAGCCTCTAAAGGCCTCAGTCTAGCCAGGGTGTAGGAGGAAGAGGGGAGATAAGACATCCAGAAATAACCATATACAGGTGGCATGAGTAGGATTTAGGTGAGTAACTGAAACGGGTTCCAAGGGCTAAAAGGGATGAGAAATCAGTCCTGTTTAGAGTGATCAGATAAGTCTTTGTGGAAGAATTAGCACTTATTCTGGGCCTGAGATGGGGACTGTGGGAACCACCTCCAAAAGCAAGTAACCACGCCTTAATTCCAGCCCACGGTCGCTGAGTGGGGAGATGGGCCCATTTGTGGCCAGATATTCCCATTTTTCAGAATAAACTGGAAATCTGGATCTTAATGTAAAATCTATTTTTAAATGATGACATTAAAAGAAAAAAAAAAAAAGGCTGAGTGCGGTGGCTCATACCTGTAATCCCAGCACTTTGGAAGGCCAATGCGAGCAGATCACCTGAGGTGAGGAGTCCTAGACCAGCCTTGCCAACATGGTGAAACCCTGTCTCTACTAAATAAATACAAACATTAGCTGGGCATGGTGGCACGTGCCTGTAATCCTAGGTACTCTGGAGGCTGAGGCAGGAGAATCACTTGAACCCGGGAGGCGGAGGTTGTGGTAAGCCGAGATTGTGCCACTGCACTCCAGCCTGGGCAACAAGAGCAAAACTCTGTCTCAAAAAAAAAAAAAAGAAAAGAAAAGAGAAAGAAAGAAAGAAGGAAGAAAGGAAGGAAGAAAAGAAAAGAAAAAAAGAAAAAACATGGTGCAGGGCAGTGTTCAAATTTCCAAATTGCCTCATTTAAAAAATCGTTGCATAAAAATTCAAACAAGGTCCATACATTGCATTATTTGATATGCCTTTTAATCTATAGATATAACTTCTTTCTCTCTAACATCATTGGTATATTACTGTGAGATTTAGCATTCATTTAGTAGGTAAATTATTCAATCTATCTTTTATTAACCACCTATTCTGTGACTAGCAGTGTGGGGACAAATACATACGGAAGGAATCCTGCCCTCTAGGGCCCCCAATCTCATTGACTCTAAACTAATGACTTATATCAGGGTCCCTTTAGATGTTTCTTTGGGGCTGCAGAAGCTCACCAAGGAGCTCCCATGAGAATGTACATTTCTGAGAAAAAAATATTGGAACTGAAAGCTGTCAGCTTGGGGAAAGTGGAGTGTATTCTGTAGCCAAAACAGACTCAGAACTGGGAAAGAACCCAGGCGGCAGCTTTCCTCTCCTCTCCTCCCCGTATTTGGAAAGCATGTGTTCCCCAGCGAGCAGAGAACTGGAATCCTGCTCGCTTTTTCTTCCTTCTAGGCTATTTTTTCCCCTTAAACTTTACACCCTTGGGAAAAACATTCAGAAACCCAGTCATAATAGGTCTAGAAATTGCCACATTTGTTTCTATTAAAAGATGAAGTTTTTTTAAAAATTGAATTTACATATAATAAACATTTAGTGAGCTTACCAATCTAGCAAATTTGCATGCAAACTGCCGCCACCGCAGCCCTGTACTATGAGTTTTAAGCTTACCAGCCATGCGATGGCTTTTTCTCTCCATCCTGAACGACCTGTTAGATTCCTTGTCACATACACAGTTGAGACAAGGCTCTGGTTTTGTGTTCTTTCTCCTCTCATCGCTTACTCTTGTCCTGCATCTGTTGTAGTTTGACTGTGATGCCCGGAAAGAGTGATGTTTCCTTCTGGACTCATCTCTTGCCAAATCGACTCACATTTTCCTTCCTTTTCCCACATCTGCGCTTTCTTCCCTCCTAAGTTACAGACTTGCCTCAGGGCCTGGTCATGTCTCACTTGGTTGATGGCAGCCTTCTCAGCTCTGGAATTCCCGCTGAAGCACTGCCCCCCGCAACGGACACTTCAGTACCCCTCCTTCCTGTGGCACAGAGGACCAGGGTGACCCCGCTGTCTAATTTCTGCAGGCAGCTCTGTACCATCTCCTTTTAGGTCTTCCCTGGGGTGGAGGGGTTGATTTTCATTGCCTGAGCTCACCAGGGAGGGGGCAGTCAACTTCTGAGGAGAGGAAAGAGAGGCTCCCACTGCCATTTCCCTCCAAAGTAGGAATGTAGACAAACCTCAGA